GTGTGTGTGTGTGTGTGTAGGAAGAAGGTGATGAGCTAACTGAGACCACGGGCAAAACCACCTCGGTTTTGGTCACTTGAGTTTTTCTTCCAAGCAGTAAATAAGCAGGGCGTAAATGGGATGAGAGTGCGGTGGGAGGGTGGCCGAAGCGGGCTGCAAGCCAAGTCAGCAGGGGGTCATGGCCTGGCTGTCTTTACACCCCCAGCTGGGTCAGCACTCAGAACAACCTCCGCTACCATGTCCCACGTGATCCGTGCACTGACAACACCGTGCTCCTCCCTGAATTCCAGATCCATTTACCCAACCGCCTCCCTGCCATCTGCTCTTGGACGTCCAAGGGCATCTCGGATCAAACCAAGCTTCCGATCCTCTCCCCTTCTACCCTCAACAGGCGCATCCATGGTCAGCTCATCTCTGTTAACAGCACCCCTCATCTTCCCGGTTGCCCAGGCCAAAAACCTTGGAGCCATCCTTGATTCTGCCCTCATGAGCCGTGTGTGCCCTCCTCTACCTTCAAAGTGAATCCAGGAGCCGACTCCCTTTTCACACCCCCAGTGCGGCGCTGTGGTGAGGGCTAACCTATGGTGAGGGCTAACCGGCAGTGCCTGTTTAAAGAGCTGCCCAGCAACCAGCTCCCCGCTTTGCTGTTGTGGTTTCCCTCTGGCTCTCACTGCCATCAGCATGCAACGTGTCTCACTTATCTTGTTTAGTAATAATTAAGCTCCATAAGGACAAGGATTTTTGTCTTGTAGCTGCAGTGTCCGGAACAGAGCCTGGCATGCGGTTTGCATTCCAATGATTGCTGAACGAAGGAGTGAATGAAAGGATGAATCTCAGGCGGTAATTTTGCTGCGAAGCAAGCCGGGTCACCCAAACATCTGGGTTCTGAACCTTGAAATTCTTGCTGTGGCAGCACCTGAGCTGAAATCAAGAGTCAGACACTTCACCAACTGAGCCACCCAGGAGCCCCGGTTCTCAGTTCTTACTGTCCCATGTCATGAGTTGATCTGAGCAACTGATTAAATTCTTTAGTTGTGTGTATGCCGATTTATATTTTTTTTACTTTAAAATCGTTTTTAATAGTCATATTTTTAAAAATGTATAAGCTTCAGAGCAAAGACACTATTTCATATACCGGTGAAAGTCTATCCTCCATTAATCTTCTAGAGGTCAATCTCTCAGGTAGTTAAGAACGTGAAAGAGAATGAGGAAATAGAGGGGAAAACATGTCCTTTCTCTCAAATATGTATTATTTATACGTATTTGGGAATATTTGTATATTATTTATATGTATTTGGGAAGGGCACACCAAAGACATGAATGAAACCACCAAGGACAAGTGTCTAGTCTGGAATCCCAGGTCCTGGATTCTAGTATTGCTGTTTGGTCCCTGGCAGCCGTGTTTATCTCAAGGAAGGGGGGGCAGCAGGACAGGGTATGGGGGAGGCAGCAGCGATGGTCAGGGCAGAGGCCACCTGGCATTCCAAAAATTATGGAGCAACAGAATATTATTTAGTGTTAAAAAGAAAGAAATCCTGACAGGCCGCAGCAGGGATGAACCTTGACAATATGATGCTAACGCTATAAGCCAGTCACAAAAGGACAAATGCTGCAGGATGTCTCTCGCAGGAGGAGGGGTCCATTCGCAGACGCGGAAGGTGGGGTGGAGGTGACGGGACTGGGGAAGGGGGATGAGGCGTCAGTTCTCATGGGCACAAAATTTCCGTTGAGGAGATGAACATGTTCTGGAGGCGGACGGTCGTGACCCTTGCACATCAGTGAGTATTCTTCAGGCCACTACATTGTACCCTTAGAAATGGGTAAAATGGTGAGTTTTATGTTGTATATATTTTACCACAATTAAAAGAATATATAAAATCCTAATTTTTCCAAGATCCCTGTGCATGGGGGGAAATTCCCACCTGACTGACCAAGATCCCCTGAATTTCTAGCTCTTTCCGTGCTCTAGGACGTGGCTCCAGCTGAACAGGTGGAGTAGAAGCTGAGCTGGTAGTCGAGCCCCAGGCAGCAAAGAGCAGGTGCCGGGGCCTGGGGACAGACACGCAGGTCCCCAGTTTTGCATTCAGTCTGGCCTCCATGAGGAGGACCCCCTGGTGGTAGGGAGCTTGTGTCCTTTGTCCTCATCCTTCTGAGGGCACAGGACAATGAGGGCCTGAGGGAATAGGGGTGGGGGTGGTGCAGGTTTGATCACCCTTGGTTGCTGAGGTGGCCGTGGGCAATTTGTGAGGACAGGTTCTGCGCCCTTGCAAGAAGGCCTCAGGCCACACTGGCTTGGAATGCTTTATTGACCCAGGCCCAGAGGGCTCCGGGATGGGTTCGAAGCAGGGCCTGAGCGCAGGAAGGGAGGCCCAGCCAGCCTTCGGTCAAGGCTAGGATGCAGGCCCGGTCTTCGGTGGCTTTTTACCTTGTCCCTGTAATAGAGATAACAGTCAGTTTCCTTCTTGGCCGGTCTTTTGGTGGCCTAGGGCCAGGGCCATCAGCTGGACCCCTTACCCACCCCCTTCAACAGCCACCCTCCCGGGGACCCCTGCAGCTCTCTCACCTCTCACCCTGATCACTGCCACCCTCGCCTTCGTCGTCTCTGTCAACACCATCATCCCCCGTGAAGGTTACATTGCTGCCTTCCCTGGGCCAGCAGCACCGCTAACACGACAAGACCTTACTACACTCGCCAATACCGCCTTCGTCTTTGCCACCCATGCCGCCCGCCGTCAACCGCAGCCTTGCTGTCTCCACCCCACGGCCCTCCCTTCACTGCCACCAGCACCTCTTCATGACACGTGCTGGTCGTTCCTGACGTCATCGCCTCCCGTGGCAACATCACCATGGCATCAACCACCACCGTCCTCATCCTACCGTCTCCCTTCCCACGAGCACCACCACCCAAGGGCCACCTTTGCTTCTGCCGTTTCTGTAAGAGGACTCACCGGGGGGTTTGCAGACCCTCAGACACATCTCTGTGGTCTCAAAGTTGTTGGCATTGCCCCGACAGCCACCGTAGGTGAAGTGCTCACATTCATGGGCTGTAGAGTTGTAGAAATAGCGGTAGAAACGGCCTCGGCAGGGGCCCTCGACGGGGGGGGAGCCGGCACAGGGCAGGCAGAGTTTGGAGCAGTTCCTGGGGAGCCTCTCGCTCGAGATGGGCTGCAGGGGTGAGGAGAGACAGGGACTATCACGTAGGTGTCCTTTTAAAGAGGTGGTACGTATTTTTCTTTTAGAAGCATGTCTTCTACAGCAAGCCCCCCGCTAAGTGCTTGCCGCAGGTTGCACGATTTAAATGACCTCACCAAGCGGATAGTACTGTCCCTCCCCCACAAATGAAGAAATGGAGGTGCAGAGATGTTTGGTAATCTTCCAAAAATCATGAAACCCAGCAGTCGAGGCCTGGGGTTTAAAGCCAGTTCCAATTTCAAATCCCGGACTCTGCATGCTACATCTTCTCATAACTTCACTCAAGATATGTGCTGTGGCCTTATTTATAATTGCCAACAACCATAGTTTGGATAAAATATCAGTGTTCACCAACCAGGGACTGATGGGTTACACGCAGTCGTGGATGAGAATAGTGCTGGTCTATATATATCAATATGGAGAGAAGTCTATAATCTTGTGAAACAAAATCAAATGAAAGAAGATCTAGAATGGTCCCGTTGATGTAAAATATACATATAAAACCGTGCAATGATGATTAGTAAGTTGTTTACCACTGTATTTGTAGTAGTTTTCCTGGGTGGTGGGATTTCAAGTGAGTTTTATATTCTAGTTATTTTTAGTATCATTTAAATGACAATGAACAGTATCATTTTTATAACTAGGGAAAAGGTATTTAAATAATATTCACTATCCATGAGTAACGAAAAAATAAAGACATGGACGTATTTTACTAAATCACCCGTTATTTTAACTCCTTTCACATCTGACTCTGGTTATCACATGAAGTGATTTATCAAACATGGGTATGTATACCTCTTCCCCCCCGCCCCAACACACACATCCTCACCCATTATTTGGCGGTGGACACACGGGATCCCAGTGTTCATGGGATGCAATACACATTACTTGGATATGTACACTCCCCAACAAGGATGCACCCCTAAGACAATGAGCTCATGGGTCGTCTCTGCTCCATGGTACCATTTTGTGAATCTTCAATTGATATGACATGCTCCAGGCCGAACCCATTCTTCGCTAGAATTGGAAAGAAACCATTCTAGGAAGGGAATTCAAGGTCTTTCATTAGGGCAGCAATCCTCAATGTTGGTGGAACATTAGATTCCTCTTGGGGAACTTTAAAGAAATCCCAATGCCCAGGCTTTACCCAAGACTAATTAAATCAGAATCTGGGAGTATGGGACCCACGTAGCCCCTAGGTAACTCCAGTGTATAGCCAAGTTTCAGAACCTGATCTCCTTTTTATTTAAAAAAATTTTTTGAATGTTTACTTTTGAGAGAGAAAGACAGAGACAGAGACAGAGCACGAATAGGGGAGGGGCAGAGAGAGAGGGGGACACAGAATCTGAAGCAGGCTCCAGGCTCTAAGCTGTCAGCACAGAGCCAAATGTGGGGCTCGAACTTACAAACCGCAAGATCGTGACCTGAGCCGAAATCAGTCACTCAACCAACTGAGCCACCCAGGTGCCCCTGATTTCCTTTTAAAAGCAATATGAAAACCTATTTCCTCTTGTAAGAATTCTGGGAGTAGGATTCTGGAGGGCAGGATTGCTCAGGCTGGCTAAAATAGGGGACTCACTTTTTAACTTCATATATTTACATATTATTTGTCTTTTTAAGACAAACCCATGCATTGCTTTGTAATAAAAATTAAATTCGGTGAGGACTGAATTAAATCAAACAGACATCTGTGAGGTCTGGCCCCAGATCTTCCCCAGACTACACGGAGACCATAGATGAACACTTCTTGTTTCCTCCAGAGGTGGAAGTGACCAGGTAGCCCTATGCAGCCAGCCCCCCACCCTATGCCTCCCTCTCCCCCACAGGCTATGGGTCTCAGGGGTCCTCTTTTTTTTTTGAGAGGGAGAGAGAGAGAGAGCGTGTGCAAGTGGGGGAGGGCCAGGGACAGAGAGGGAGAGAATATTAAACAGTCTCCATCCAGAGCCTGATGCAGGGCTCAATCTCATGACTGTGACATCATGACCCGAGCTGACATCAAAAGTCACTTAACTGGCTGAGCCACCCAGGCACCCCTCAGAGATATTCTTTTTTAACCCCTCAGCTCACCTGAGGTCTTTTCTGAGCTGGCGATGCCCACCAGGCAGAAGGGGAAGCAGAGGGCAAGGAACAGGCTGAACTTCATGGTGTCAGTAGTAGCTGAGTGTTCTAGAGTGGGGCTGGGAGACTAAAATTTATACCTGCAGCTAAAAGCAGGTGTGCCCTCTTCCTCAGAGTTGAGGGAAGTATCTGGGTTTTCATTACTTGGAAGAGGAAGTACCCTCGACAAGGAGTGTGGGCCCAGAAGAATTGGACGTCTCACCCAGAGGCAGTGCCACTTGCCTGGGAGGACTTCTTGAAGGCTATTGAGCCAGTGCCCTAAGTCAGT